GTGGACATTGAAATCAACACTCAGTGGCGACAGTCTGTTTCATACTTTAACGCAATTTTCAAGCCATGTGTGTTGGTTTTGGATCCACTATTTAACAGTATCTGTTGATTGCATTATAGGTCTGTTGCATTATTATGGCGAGCAGTTGTTATGTTTTTATTCTAACTTGAAGTAATTTGTATCCGAATGCAGTATCATATTGGTATTTTTGACTACTTTATTTGTTGTTGATTGTTATTATTACTTTTTTACATGTGGTTTTCTGATTTGGTTGGTATAGTGTGTTTTCTTAGGTTTATCTTTTGGACTGTTTCATAATAATTACTTGGCTTTCGTTAAAGGTGGTTTCACTGGAAGAATTGTCAGATAACTTGTGGTATCTGCTTGATTATTGATGTCAGGTGGTTGGAAGATATGTGCATATAATGTTGTTTGTTGTTAGGTTTTCTATATGGTTGATATGTACTTTTTCTTAGGTTTAATGTGACATCTAGGAAATCCACTTCTTTTTGGTTTGTTTATATGTTTATATTGAATCCCATAATTTTTTGAAAATTTTTATGATTATTTTTCTGGTTTTGTTTGTTTTTGTCTGCTACAGTTTCTTAAGATTATGTGACCGTCGTCCCTGTAGAGGCCTGTATCATTTTTATCGATTATTTTACTTGGTTCATATAGTAAATGTATACTTATATGCTCAAAGTTTTTTTCACCATCAAAGCTTCCCATTGTAATGTCAAATCTTCCTACTTTCTTTATTCATACATCTTTGTTGTCGAATAACAGTGATTTTCGGGAATGATATGTTTAAAAATTTTTACTTGGTTTGTGTTTTTATTTATTCTTGAGCTAAGGCGATAGTCTTATCTAGCATGGGTTCTGTTATAGGAGGGTGGAAATCTTTTATATCTAGCTGTATAAAGCCGCAATTAAATAAATTTCATCGTTAATTTACAAGCATTGTTTGCACTAAAAGACCACAAAGAAAATTTCAGATCAAAACCAACATGCAGACTCATAAACCCAGCAAAATGTGAACTAGGTAAAATAAGTAACTCAGAACTAAGGAAGAAGTTAAGAGTTAATCGGTGGGAAAACACAAAAACAACAATAGACTGGTTCAGCAACCTAACAACTATAATTGAGAATCAAATACATCAAATACTTTACTTTTACTGCGCAGTAATATGTGTACGTGTGTAAAATTATTTTTGAAGGTAGACACGACCTGTCCAAAATATACGATTTCATAAGAACATTTGTGATGGAATACATAATGGAGATCAATGAAGAAATAATAAAGATATGGATGATATTGCAAACAGCATTGCACCTCCACAATAATGATCAATAAATACTGCATTGAACTGTTTTATTGATGAAATCTGTTGTCTCTTACTTTGCTCAAGCCACTTGTATCTGACTCGCCAACTCATAAGATATGCATCAAAAAAGAAATAACAATGTAGATATACATATCCTTTCGTATCGCTGACAAAACCGCATATAACCGTACGACAAGAATAATTTGTCTAAAACATGATTATCTACTTTACTAAACTTGTTTTTCTCCTACTAAATCACAATTACAACATTTCCATAAATATTACGTTACTAATATAATGTCATTTTACAGCATTGTAATATATTCAGCCATGGGTATTGATCAATAATAGGGTCATGGATGGCGTGATTAAAGGTCACGTTTCATATTCGGTAACGTGATATGATCAAAATATATGACCAGATAAGTACAAGTTACAAACCATGTGGTCATCTAAATACACCTCACAACTCACATAACCAGCTATGTACAGATCATCAGTCAATTTGACCATAAAAATTACTTGGATGAATAAACAAGTAAGCATTTAGTTGAAAATGGTGTATTTGACATAACAAAAAATCATACAAAACTTTTTCATCTTTTCTTTTTGAGCGCACAACATTTCGAGGCAGAAGACGCTAAAGCCAATTGGACTTTAGCGCCTTCTGCTAAACGGAAAGGATCAGAAAATTTGAAAAAAGTAAACCTGGCCAATCTTTCTCTCTCTACTTAAAATCTAGGAATAGGGGTAGTCAGCTTGATTTGAAATATTTATATAGTTGTTCGTCTATAATCCTAGTTTTTTCAACAAGGAATAACAAAATCTATTGCACACTGTGCTTTTGTCATTGCTAATGATGATTTTGCATCTATATTATTCTATCGTCAAAAATACAACATAACTTTCTCAACAAACTGAAATAATCAAAATTACTGCTTTTTGTTCTGATTGAGCATTTTTTGCTTTCATTTTTATTATTGCATTACACACGCTGTTATGAATAATTAACAAAACCAGCTCTAAAGAAATAGATCTCATTTATAACTTAAGAAAACTTCTTTTAAATAATTCTTTATTATTTTTATTTTATTTATTTATTTTGTTTTTTTTACAGCAAAATTTTTTTTCAGTTATCTTTAAGACATGTCAGAGGCTATTCGAGAAACATCAAATTCTTCAGGCAGAATTCACAGTAAATTTAACCAAAAAAAAAAAATCATCTAATTAAAATCTTTGAAAAAAAGGCCACCGTCAGGTCTTCCGGCCTTCACTATATTTTAGAGCTGTCGCGACGCAACGGTACTGGAACAACATACTTAGGGACACAAATTCAAGTGAACTCAAACAGTACCCGCCCAATTATATTATAAAAAAAAACACTCATCCTTACGACAACGTTTATAAGACTTCCGCAACGCCACTTGCCTCACAGATAGAAAACATTCTCTGAAAAAAAAATAAATAAATAAATAAATGAAGTATTCTATTCTAAAAACAAACCAAGATAGCGTTTTTTTATCCTCTCGTCAGTCATTTAATAAAACACCGGCGGAAAACGACGGGAGATGATTGACGAAAATGGCGTGAGCCACATATTACAATGAATATACTGGATGAATATTCTTGTAAATTTGAGTTAATCTTGAGATTTCATACATGAAACCAAATGATCTGAATTTCCAAAACCAAAAGAATGCCCATAAGTTTCGTTAACATATTCGGAGAACATCTTCAATTAAAAAAGAAACGATCTTCTTCACAGAAATACAACTTTCACGTAGTCAGAAATGATTTTAGGATGAAAGTTCTTTCATAATTCAATTGTAGTAATATTATCTTGGGATGTGCAGCTTGCGTAGCGGTTATCGGCGTAGAAAATGGAACGGGTGAGCAGAGTTAAAACGACAACGGGGAAGAACTACATTGCTTTTTTTTGTTTTGTTTTTTGTTTTTTTAAGTCATGATAATTCAAAGATAATAGAGTCGTGATCTTCTAACTACGTCTTGATTGAGCATAACATTAAAAATATTATGTTGGCATTTTTTATAGACAATACATTGTCAAATATTATTAATATTTGGGATTCATCTTAATTTCAGTTGCTTTTAATCGCTATAACGCGGAAGATTTTTTCGGTCATTAGTAAACAATGACAATCAGTAATCTAAATAAACAAACAGCAAATTATGTCTGTTCGTGTGTCTGAAATGCCTCTAACTCGCGCCACACTTGCTCTACATAGACATATTGTACCTTTTCGGAGTCAAGATGATCCCGGGATTGAAAATATGTCCTTCATTTGATGCTTGAACATCCAGCATTTGGGATTTGTGTCCGGTGTGAAGAGAACAGTTAAAAATTCAACTTTTAAAATAACTGAAAGAAATTAGTGATTTTAAAAGTTTTTAATTTATATTGAGTTTAAAGTAACACAAAACCTTTTTGAATTTAAGTATTTTTGTTTTAAATTCAGTTTAAAACATCTGCAAAACTTTGTGAATTGAGAAAATAAATTTTATTTCTTCCAAATGCCAAGGAATCAGAATTAAAGAGAGAGGGTTCGTGAGAGGGAAGTTTTGAAATTCTGCAGATTTGGGGATTTGAAGAACTCAACTCGTTTGAAGTTCCACAGAGTTTATGATTTGAAAAAAAAAATTAATTTTCACCCTGAATTGGAATTATAACCCGAATCATGGTTAAAGGGAGGCTTTGAAGTTCCATCGAGTCAATTGAAGAATTCAAAGTTATTTCTTCAAAATTATCATTTCTGTTTTCTAAGCTAAACCAGAGATCCTTTTTGCTTTGGACCGGAGACCCAATTAGCACCCCGCACGAGCTACCTTAAAAGTCCTCACAGAGTGCGGCTTTTAAGCTAGTAACAAATAAGATGAATGCAAGATTACGAACTCGCATCATTTTTTAGGAAGGGAAACCCGTCTTTTTACAAAGGCGGCGCTTCCGGTTCTGCTCGTAGAACTAACGATTCTTTTTGTCTAAGTTGTGTTTTTTATCAAAATTAATGCAGGAGTTACTAAAAATATTACTTGCTTGTCGTTATTTACTTGAGTTTGAGCTCGAAATAATTTAATAAGCTCACCTTGTGCAAAAGAATAAATCACACCTGATCATGGTTATCATTTGCCGAAGACATGAACAATATGAAATAAATTTACATAGATAGCATAGACATCACACGGAGAGATATTTTATAAATAAGTTCTAGAATTAAGCTTTATACGGCTTACGGTCATATCACATTGAAACACCAGCTCTTCGCTATACTAACTAGAATTTATGAATTTAAGCGCAGTACTAGACTGACAACGAGTTTTCATTAACGAGTTGGCTAGATGTACCTGTAAGTTCTATGCTCACAATTAGCTAGATGTACCTGTAAGTTCTATGCTCACAGTTGGCTAGATGTACCTGTAAGTGCTATGTTCTGGCACTTCTCACTTGTGGAACTCTCTTCCGGCTCCATGCTTTCCATATAAATTTAATCTTCAACAATTTAAATGCAATGTCAACCTCTATCTACTGTCTTCATAATTATTCTTCTATTTTTCTCGCTCCTTAGTAATGTTTCTGTTTTCTAATTCTTCTACACCCAGTAACCGCTTGCGTCTTAGTGGCTTTGCGGCCTTGCTTGGGGTGAATTCGATTAAAAAAAAAATCACTGGTTCTCGTACGATCACCGAAGTTAAGCGACGTCGAGCTTGGTCAGTATTTAGAAGGGTGACCGCTTGTGAATACCAGGTACAGTAAGCTTTGGTGTGCGGGTGGATAACGGCTCGGAATTGAAAATCGGAGAGCAGAATTTCAATTCCGGTTGGGTTTGGTATATATACTTACGCGAAAAGTATAAATCTACCTCTTGTTCTCCATCAATGGTTAAATTTGTAAAACTTGTATCAGTAAACCATTATTATCTTCCAAAATATTTTACAATCTAAAAATAATTTCTGGTTTTAAATGACGTGCAAATGGTTGATAAACTGTCAAAAACGAATCAATCAATAAGCTTTATTATGTTAAATACAGTCTCCTAGTAAGTCTCGCAGATAATTACTGCATTAATGAATTGGATCCTCACTTGTTACACTATTGCAGTGACCTCACGTTTAGATTAATGTGTACTAACTTGTACTCGATGTCGGAAGAAATTCAAAAACAATTTTAACCTAATAACCGGGAACCTGATGCCCAACACAACACACCCCTATTACCTTCAAAGGTCATTGATATATAGGACTAAGATTCAGGTAATCTACACACTAACTGTATTTAAATATACTTTTGTCGTATTTTACATTCGTCAATATGCAAAATAAATATACTTAGTTGGTGAATCGCATATATAAAATAATTATATTTAAAATCAGATGTAAAACCTCGTTTGTTTTTTATTTTTGATTTTTTTTTTTTACTTTTGTTTATCTATATAATACTACAATTCTAATCGTATATGTATGTATGTGTGTTCCCGAGATACAGCTTACACGATACATAATACCCCAAACAATTTAGAAGCATATTGATCCTTGAACCCCAGCCGAGTGCAGTGCCAAATTTCATTAAAATTAAAATTATGCTCAGGGTTCTTCAGCTAGCACCGTTTTTCTATTTTTACGACATTTTTTATAGGAAATTCAGTATTTGCTTTCGATGCACATTCTTATATCAATCCGCGTATATAAACAAACGCTTTTATATTATATTTCAACTATTACGTGTGTGAAAAATAAACATTCATAGTACATTCTTCTTCACGGCATTATTAAATAAATTTAAATATGCATAACAAAACATATATTCATACAATTCACTACACTATATTAGAACTTTATTTATAAACGACTTACTTGCTAAATAAAAACAGAGATGCACGCTGGTTTGCTGCCGTCACTTATTTTGAAATAAATGCAAGAAACAAGTACGTATAATAAAGATATACTTGTTATTTTGAAAAAAAAAACTACACCTGTCTTAAGCTATTACTCCAAATTGTCACACAATGTGCTATGAATCGCAGTGGAACAATAAACCTTCTTTTCCTGTCTTCAAATACAAATTAAAATGTGTAATTAATTAAAAATTTTGTAGAATGAACTGCTTTAAAAAATGAAGTGGATTTGTGGCTGGTCTGGTATACTTCTAAAGCCCAATTACGTTTTCTGTAAGCCCCAGTTCGATGATGTGAGTCGAAAGTTTAAGACTACACGAAATTATGTGGGGTTAATTTATCCGCACACAATTACATTTGCGAATATATATATATATATATATATATATATATATATATATATATATATATATATATATAAAAGATATATTTAAATGCACAGTGTTGATAAAGAGAAAATAAATCCGTGTATAATACAACATAATTATGTAGAAAGATACGGTAAAAGGTGAAGTTTCAAGAGTTCAAGTGTATAAGTCTTGGCGCGTACGAGAGAGAGAGAAAGAGAGAGGATGTTCGGAATAAAGTAAAATATATGTATATAGTAGAAGGATTGAATTGATGGAATCCTGGTTTCAATCTTTAAAGGCACGGATTCAAAATCTGTAATGCTACCTACCGAATAAGTTGGTAAGGCCTTTTGTAAAATATGAGTCAGCTGAGGTCTTGTTAAATTGAAAACAGCGACACCAGTCACAAAAAATGGATACAATACATTTACTTTCCACCGATGGTTATCAATAATTGAAGTCAACTTCAAAGCACAGAGCAAGAGGCTCAAACTGAGAGAAAGTCACTGAAGGCAGATTAATTACTATTTTAGACGAAGATGACAAGACAAAGAAAAATGTTATCTATAAAACTGACCATCCCGCGAAAAGACACACAGAAGGAACGAAGCGGGCCTCACGGTACGGGCAGTGAAGACAGCCGCTGAACTGTGTACCTACCCCCATCACCTACGCCTCATCTCTACTTTGCTCGTAGTTTACAACCCAAGAATAAAATCTGGTTTACTGATAGAAATTGTTTTGTTCTTCACTCGTGGTTAACGATCTGACCGAAGGGCAATTTTTAAGCCACAAAAGCTTGAATGGAAGAAACTGCCCCCCCCCCTGTCAACGAACCTGGTGTCTACTCTTTGAAATGCAGCACTGCGAGAATCTTGTTGAACAGGCTAATAAACAAAATATGCCCTGTAATTATTCCAGAAGCATAGAGTAGTTTTAGAGCGGGCAGGAGTACTATGGATATGATTTTCTCGGTAAGACAGCTGCAGGTGAAATGTATCGAACAGCGAGTACCATTGCACCAGGATTTCGTGGATTTGACCAAGGCTTTTGACACCGTAAATCGCGATGCCTTGTGGAGCATTCTTGGTAAGATTGGTTGCCCTCCCACTTTTGTCAACGTAGTGAAACAGCTACATAGTGATATGAAGGTGCGTCTCAAATCCAACGGCTCACTTTCAGATGAAAGTCTTGCACTAACAGTTTTCTCAGTCTACTTTGCTGTGCACTTACCGCATGCTTTCGAGAACTGTGAGGTAGGAGTCTCCTTGTAATTTCGGACATCAGGAAAGAGTATAGAATTTCAGAAGGTTCAACATCAAATCCAAGAGCTTCGTGCTTGTGAGCCAAGGTTTGCTGCGTGCTGATAATGTAGACTTTTTAGCGCTCTCGTCGGAAGATTTCCAATTCAAAATGGATCGCTTCTCTGCCGTTTGTAATGCTTTTGGAGGGTTAGCCTGAGCAAGACAAAACTGATGTTTACCATCCACCTGATATGCCAAAATAACAAAAATAATAAGAACTAACAATAGCAGGGACAATTATCAGGCTGATGGTTGTTGACGATATACAGTCCCCCCACCGACAAGGGTGTCATGTGGCACAAGGCCTTTTTAACGTGGGCATTCCGAGCCCGTGGGCTCAGCCAAAAATATGCCCATTGAACCCGAATAAACGGGTTCAGGGCCGGTCTACCTCCCCGAAGGAGACTCCGCCCTTCGGCGTAGCCTCCTTCTGGTTCCTCCCGTCCGTAGGAAGAGAGTTCAACCGAACAGTCGCTCAGAAAGTACTGACTCGAATGACTTCATGATGGCTGATGGTTGTTGACACTTTCTTGGAGGTACTATATTAAAAGACTCGATGTTGAGATTTTTTTATGCATTCAGAAGGTAAGTGTTGCATTTGGTAAATTAGAAAGTAGAATTTGATTGAATAGAAGCATTGCCATCAAGATTAAATCAAATGTGCATACGGCCTGTATTTTATCGCCCCTGTTGTAGTCTTCTGAAACATGGATATCATACAGGAGGCGTATAAAATGGCTTCAGCCATTCCACAATTCCTTAACATCAAATGGCAGTCTTTGATTCAATACACTGTTGTAATCCAAAGATCTGAATGCAACAGAATTGAAACAATAATAATCCTCAACCAGATGCGATGGGCAGGACACGTTGTGAGTGTAGGAGCCAGATAGGAAGTTAACGCTTCCGTAGCTAAAAGCCATATGACGAAAATGTGCGCACATAGGCTCCACACAGGCTTCCGGTTAGCATAAAAAATAGAAAATATTTATTTTATCCAATCAGACGACCTCCCGCTCAGATCAAAAAAGACTGATACGGAGCCGATTTTATCCTGGGCTCAGATATATATATATATATATAAAGGCAGGGAACCGGCTTAAGAAAGGGGTCAGTCATATTTATTTCCACCGTGGTTCACATCTGACAGTCTGCGCTACCAAATACAGCCACATTTATATTAATGCACAGAAGCTTGTATCGCCACTGAACACCGTAAAAAATAACCATTTTATTTATCTATTTTTCTGCGTTAATATTTCATACAAACGCGGACTTTATCACGGACACCTATAGTACCAAATTTAAGCATTATTACGGAACTACACAATTCAGTCCCCACAATTTCTATAAACAAACTTATTGAATTGTTGTTGGTATATAAATTCATATCATTTGTTATTACATATGTATTTTTATCTTTACTTTTATTGTTGTGAGAATGCAATATGAGAATGAGGAATAACAGGATTTCCAAATTATTTTTCTACGAGGAACTGAAGACAAGATAACATCCAAAATATAAACCTAGAAAGAATTTTTAAGATAATTTGAAGGATGATCTTTGATGCATGATTTCAAGAGGATTATCCATCCAAAGAGGGATGATACCTTGAAAACTGTTGTCGAGATGAAACCATTACAAATAATGCGAAGCAACAAGGTTTTCAGAGTAGGCGGCTCTCATCTGATGTGGCACAAGGCCGAAAAAGGATCGAACTCACTACTCAGTCGTAATGACAATGAAGGTGCCCATATGTATCATGTATGCATGATTTCAAGAGTTATCCATGGATGATACCGAACCGAGACGGAAACCATATATATATATATATATGTTATATATATATATATATATAAATATATATATATATATATATATATAAAAATATATATATATAAGAGGCAGGATGTGTGTGTAACGAATGCACGGCGACAATTTTCGACGGATTTGCACCAACATTTACATGCACATGCTCCAAGTTAGCAGGAAGGCCAAGACCGACTATGCATTTCCCAACTCCCACCAATAGTGGAAATAATCGATTTTTTCATGCTTCGACGGCAGTTTTCATGTAGTTTGCGGCCATTTTCTACTGGCCAGAGTGAGAGTCTATAGCTGGCTGCCACGAATAGGCAGGAAGATTCTATTGGCCAGCCTGAGAGCCAACAGCTGACTGACACGAATGTTAACTAGCATGCTAGCA